ACTGTGGTCGGGCCCAGCCCGCTTTCCCTGTCCTAAATGCAGCTGCACCTGGCACCTGCATATCCCCAACGTGCCCTTCCCTTTTCCAATATGGTGACCTGCCCCACCCACAACCCCAAATTAGTATCTCTACTGAGGAGATCTGGTCAAATCCTATACATGAGCTGGACAGCAGGTCGACCTCCTCCTCCCAGCAGCAGGAGGTACTCACATGGTCTCTCCTGCTGTGATATGAACACTGTCCACCTAGCATTTACCTACATGTCTGTCGGTCTGTCTGTCTGCATTTGGGACAGATGCATTTCACTTCAAAGCATCCACTCCTTCCTGCAGATAACTTCATTAAAATACTCATCTACTCTGTCCCAGGCATAGAAGATACAGAAATTATTAAATCCCAGCCCTGCCTGTAAGACTGACAGTCTAGTAGGAATGGCTAATACAAAATGACACTTTACCAGCCACCTTATAATAATAGGGCATGCGACACGATCCAAAGCATCATTATCACAACAGCCTGTTTATTTCCTTCTGCTACGATTTGGATATAGCTGAGTATGTTCCCCAAGGCTTCAAGTATTGAAATTTAATTCCCACCATAAGGTATAAAGAGGGTGGAAGCTTAATCCAACTCTGGTGTTTAGAGGGGACCTTAGGAAAAGGTCATTAGAAAGGTCATTCTCTATAAGAAGAGAGACCACACAGACACATGAACTTTCACTGTCCCTTGCTGAGTGATGCCCTGTGCCACCTTGGGACTCACTCTGACAGCAAGAAGGTTGCTCCAGTGGGCACCCAGAAGGTGTTGTCCCAGGTGTTGAGGTTCAGGCCTCTCAACCTTGCACTTACAGAACTGTGAGCCAAAGTAAGCCTCTTTTCTTTATAAAATAGCCTACCTCAGGTTTTTCGCTATGGTAATGAAAATGTATTAGAATACCTTCGTACAGCTCAATTTGTGACTGTTACATTTGTTCATTTTTTAAAAAATGGTACTAGAAACTGAACCCAGAGGCTACATTCCCATCCCTGTTTTTGTTGTTGTTGTTGTTTGTTTGTTTGTTTGCTTGGTTTTTGTTTCTAATTTTGAGACAGGGTCTTACTATATTGCCTAGACTGGCCTCAAATCTGAGATCCTCCTGCCTCAGACTCCTGAGTTGCTGGGATTACAGGTAAGCACCACCTTGCCCAGCCTACAGTTGTCCATTTATCTGTTGTTGGTCTGTCCCCAGTAGGAGACACTAGCATGGAACCTGGTCTGATTCACTGCTGTTCCCAAAATGAATTAGAAACAGAAACACCTTCATTAAAAGCTGTAGTTGTGGGGGTTGGGATTGTGGCTCAGTGGTAGAGTGCTCACCTAGCATGCACGAGGCCCTGGGTTCGATCCTCAGCACCACATAAAAATAAATAAATTAAGGTATTGTGTCCAGCTACAACTAAAAAATAAATATTAAAAAAAATAAACAAATAAAAAATAAAAGCTGTAGTTGTGGAGGAAGTATAGAGAGAGGTAGGGAAGGGTTGGGGGCTAAGCACACCTTTGAGGTTCAGGCAACACTTCCATGAGGGGCAAACCCAGGTGAGATCTGAAGTGTAAGGGCCAGAAAGGGAAGAGGGGAGGCACCTCCAGAGGAGGAAACAGGATGGGCAGAGGTGAGAATGTCAAGTCAACATGACCACGGGACCGGGGGCAAAGCCCTTCACTACTGGATAGAACAGCTGTTCTCGGAAGTGGGTGATCCCGCCCCCTGGGAGGCTTTGGCAGTGCTTGGTGACATTCTTAACGGTCAAGACAGGGGAAATACAATGTGGTTGGCATTTACTAGGAGAGTCCAGGGATGTCATGCATCCTACAAGGTACAGAGCAACTCCCCAAACGAAGAATCTTCTGGTCCCAAATGTCCGTGGCGCTGAGGTTCAGCCACCAGCCGTAGACTAACGGGCAAGGAACGGGCCGGCTGGAGAACACGAGTTTCTTATTAAGGTCACGATTCCTCTTCTGTCCACACTTGACATTTTCCTTTGATTAGAATTCAGACTAAAGGAGCATTTGCTTGCCACCTGTTAAAGCCTCCAAAAAGGGAAATATTCAGTAAGGAGCGTCTAGAACCTCAGGGCGTAGTGTCAGTTTCCTTCATTTGTTGGATATCCACCAGGACCCGTCATTTTCTCTCTAAACTCTAGGACTCCAAACCACCCACCCACATGCAAGGTAATGAAATGTAAACAGATGAGAAAACAGGTGCTCAGTAGCCCCGGGCAGACGGATAAATTGTCACATGGATGGAGGGAAAGAGAAAGATGTATCGGGATGGCAAAGGGCGTAGTCCTTAGGGCTCCACGCACATGTATCTGTGCCTTGTGTGTTTTTTTTTCTTGAAGGCAGGGTGGGCCTGACTGTCAACACCCCTGGCCTCTTATGAGGGAAAAGAGAATGGCTGGGGAGAGATCAACTCCCCAGAACTCTAGAGCCTTAGCGAGAGTCAAGCAGCTGGACTAATGGAATTTGGTGGGAGGCAGGAAGTCCCTGAACACAAAGCCCCTTTGTCTAGAAATAGCAGCACACCCTGGGCTGAGCCTGCCCTTGACAATGAAATCCAGCCACAGCTCAAAAACTTGTCAGAGCCTGACCCTGTGTTCATGTTCTCATACTACCTCACAAGAGCATCTCTTCAGCTAAAAGTTTCTTGTTCTAAAGTCGGTTTGCTTATTTTGGCCCCTGGCAAAAAAAAAAAAAAAAATCTATGTTATTCAGTATTATCTGAAATGCCAGAATTGTGACTACACAGGAAAAAAAAAAAATCACTGTTTTTTGTTGTCGTTATCATCAGAGATTCAATAGTGTTTTATCTCTAAAGAGATTCATGAGGGTCATTTCCTGTTACATCCCAAATTCCACCCTGACAGAAACTTCCCAAGTTTCCTCATCTCTGAAATGGGCACAAACCTACCAACCTCCCCTTCTTACTATGAGAGGGCTATGTGAACAAGAAACATCTAGAAAAGGAGGCCATGATTGCAAATTCAATTTACATCCAATTTTTCAAGGAAATATTTATTCCAGGGATAGAGCAATAAAAGCCAGGAAGAGCACCCCATGCAATACAGGGCACTCCTCCTGGTACCAGATAAACATGGGCCTTACATCAAACATACTGCCTCTGTATAGAGCCAGAGCTGGAAAGAGGGACAGACGACGCCAGCAAACCAAAATGGAAATTGAAGTAAACTTGTAACAACTCAGCAAGATTGGCAACTGCCAAGGGAGGAAAACAGCACCTACAGGCAGTGCCCAGCTCTGAGATGAAATGTCCTCCAAAAGTTCATTGGTAAGTAGAACTGTACGCATTGTTTTATGTCTCAAGCCAGCCCACGAAAGATGATTGGAAACGATATCTGGTATGCCGGGAGCCATCCGTGAACTGTGCATGGACTAAAGCGATGTTGGAGCCAATTAGGCAGGAAAGCCTGGTATCAGGAACTCCCTGTAGGAATCCACTGGTTTGAGAATGCCTGGTTCACGTGGCGTCCTACCTAGCTCACCGCTCAAGTTCTAGCACAGCTACAGAGGTGGGAGTGACTGGATGGAGCCACACAGCTTCCCACAGATGGGTGTGGCTTGCCCAAATGCCCATCAGCCTGTTTACGGCAAGACCCCTGCCACACTGCAAAGCAAGCACCAAACCAAGACTCCTCCTGCTGAAACCTTGTCCCTGCCTTTGATGGACTCCCCCTTAAATACAGAATAGGAACCTTTTTTTTAGTTGTTCAGTTCCAGCTCCTGTCTGGACTGGAAGACCCATCAGCTGCTCCTCTTTTTATATCTAATTTCTGGCTTTGTCTTTATTTCTTACTAATTATTTCAGACTTTTTATTTTCCCAGGCAGCTCACACCTCCTGAGCAGGAACCTACTCTGTGGGGTTGTAGGCCACCCCGTTATACCGGTATACCATATACTTAGAGTAGAAATGGTAAAAAGTCGTGCTTTGATATCATTTTTTAAACATATTGAAGCTGGGTGTAGTGGCACACACCTGGAACCCTAGCAGCTCGGGAGGCTGAGACAAGAGGATCACAAGTTCAAAGCTAGCCTCAGTAACTTAGCAAGGCCCTAAGAAATTCACGGAGACTCTATCTTTAAATAAAACACACAAAAAAAGGTCTGGGGATGTGGCTCAGTGGCTAAGTGCATCTGGGTTCAATCCCCAGTACCAAAAAAAAAAAAAAAAAACAAGAACATTGACACAGAAAACCACTACCTAGCTCATAACTGGCTTTGACCTTTGACCTGAACCTCAAACCAAGAGCTGGGCTATGGACCTCTTGATATCCAAGTCAGTATTAAAACGGGTTCCTCGGAAACTTACAAGGGAAGAATGAGAAGAATTTCAAGGAAAAAGGTGCTGATGGGAAGACTGAGGGGTCTACTTAGGGGAGGTTCTGGTGCCCACCTACGACATTCTCTAGCACTGAAGGGCTACCTGTCGTATCAAAAGGGTACAAGGTCTGACGGAACAGTGGCCATCCTGCCTGCTACAAAATAAACTGCAGCAAAAGACAAATGAGCCATTCCTCACCAGGGCAGGGGAGGAAGAGAGGAATGGGGATTCCCAGCATGCTCCACAACAGCCGGCACAGAGGGGCCACTGAGAGGCTGAAGGAGGACATTCTCACAGTTGCCAAGGGCAGGCACAGGGAGTGCCCAGGGCCATGGTTGATTCTAACAGATTCAGCTAGATCAAGACGGGACTTCCTGAGCTTGACCCACGTGAAAATTGTGCTAACCAATAAGGTTACATAACCAGATTTCTGGTATCTGAAGAAGAGGCCGAGAACAAGAAAATAACCATGGAGAATGCCTTATCCAGCCCGGCACTCTCATATTTCTACTCTAGGAAGGCACTTTATTCCCGATTATTGCTGAATACCATACTGTACCTGGCAAACTCCAAATATATAAGTGATACAAAATGCTGATTTGAAAGTTGAGAAAATTCACCATTGGTCCACTTTGTACCTTCTTTAGTCCTCCAAAGAAAGCATCAGCCTCCAACTCAAATTCCTGGTCCAGTTCCTCTTCATGCTCTGACAAGAAAAACAGTCTCCATTAGTCACAAGTCTAAACAAACGGGTTGGCTACAGAGCAAAGGCACTAAAAGAAACTGGAGAATGTCCTGCAAAAGCAGCCAGGGGATGTGGGAGGGGAGGAACACAAGCCCATCACACTCCTTGACCTCCTTTCTGGTTTTCTGGGACCTAAGTTCTTGGAAATACAGGGTGGGCCTGGTGGAAACGGCCCTTTCAACTTGTAATAAGGGTCACAGAAAGAGAGGGGATCAGAGGAGAAAAGTGTCCAACACAGGGAAACTGGGAGAGGCTGGTGCGAATTCCCCACTTGTACAGGTGATTAAATTTGTTATGTCTATGCCACCGAATGATAGTGATCATGAGGATTCTATGACAAAATGCTCACAAGATAGAATAAAATGGAATCAAATCAGGGTCAAAATGCATTCCTAAGTTAATGACATGATGGCTTATCTGTTTTTTTAAACAACAAAATCTTCGATTCTTCTTAAGGGTGTGCAATAACCAGACCTCATGTGAAATACTAGGAACGAAAAAATGAAAAAGAATCCGACGGGCAAAGCTCTCGGCCTCTGGGGGCGTCCTGTCCACTGGGGAAGAGACACAAACAGAAAATATGAAACTGCCTTGGGCTGACTAGTGCCTTGATAGTGACATGAGGGCTAAACTTGAGGCCTGTGTGATGTCCAGGAGACAGAGGAGTGGGTGGGGGTGGAGCGCAAAGAATGTCCTAAGGGAGAGATAAAGGCATAGGGGTCCTCAGTACAAGGGTAGTGATAAAGCCATCAGAATGGCTGTGATTCATTAAAGAGGGACAAGGAATACATAGACAAGGAAAGGAAGAAAACTCTATGCCTATCAGAATTAAAAATAATAATATTAAAAAAAAAAAAAAACTCCAAAAACTGAGAAGGAACTACCCAGAAGCAAAAACCAAAAGAGGGTGGGGGTCACTAAGCCTGATCATGAAATGCTGCTGCTTTTTCAGAGTAGGATCGAGGGGCAGACTCACAGGCACTAGATGGACGCAGTAGCCCCAGGCCCACACCCCAGGCAACACTGCTCCAAAGAACAAGAGGAAAGGGCAGGGTGTTGCACACTGACCCAAGGAACCACATCACAGCTCCAGGAACCCATTGATGTGTATCCCACATGCATGGGGTGTCACACAGGGGCGTGATGACAGCAGGCGTGCAATTGTAGTGGGGCACTGGTCTTTTCTGTTACAGCTGCACACAAGGCCACATTGTGTGTTTTGCATTGTGCCTGGGCTCCAGTCCAAGGAAACAGTCCATGGGCAACGGACAAGTGACTGCGATCCCACAAAGTAACAGAAAGCTCAGAATTTATTCTGGAGAGAGTGGGAAACCTCTCTGCCTATTCCCTCTTTTGTTTCAGCCTCACGCTTACACAAAATGCAAACTCCAGAAACGTTGAAATCACACACACGTGAAACAAAGCAAAAACTGGAGCTAGTCTCTTCTTTTTAAAAAAGGATACATTCATAAATAGCAGTTGACATGCTAATCCCAGACTTCCTGAAATTGTAATATATCTCCCTCTAGTGGGAAAAATTTGCTTGCCACCTCCTACAGGCTCCAAGAAAGGAAATATCCAGCCAGAAGAATTCAGCTAGTGGGAAAAAGTCTCCTATGTAAACAGGAAAATCAGGATAAAATCCTGCTCAGCAGGGTCCAACAGAAATTCAATAGGAGCCACATTTATAAAGTTTCTTATAGCAACAAAGAAAAAAAAAGGTAAAATTAATTTTATTATATTCTTTTTAAACAAAAATAACCAAAATATTATTTCAATATACAATCACTATTAAACAATTATTAATACGTTATTTTACATTCCTTTTATAATCTTAAGTACACACTGTCCTTATAGCACATTTAATTCAGAAGAGCCACATGTTAAGTGCTTACTACTCCTAGGTGGCTAGGGATTACCATATTGGACAACATAATTCCAGACCAAAAATTCTCCCCCAGTTTTGGAGAATTTCTACAAATCACCCTTGTATGATTTCTTGATGCAAACAAATGCTGTATATATGATATTGATATTAAATTCCAACTCAAATCTATCCATGACCCCTTTAGAAATCATTATCTTTAGACTGTCTGAAGTTAGCTGAAAATTCACAACTACAGAATGCATTTGATTGAGCAGAAGCTGAGAACCTGCAAGCAACTGATCTTTCTTTGAAGAATGACAGCCCCTCAGACCCTCAGGGACGATTCCTTCCCAGGTTGGGGGCTCACGCCCTCACTCCCATGGACAGGACTGGAGTTTTCCTCCTCACTCAAATGTAGTCAAACAGGAGGCTGCTGCAAATGGGTGGAAGCCTTCTATCCCTGGGAAATGCTCTCCATACCACACAGGACAGACTGGCAGCAGAGCCAGTCCTTTCCTCTAGTGTCCTGGTACCATTTCCCAAAATTCAGCACTCCACAAAGCTGCCTGAGAGCCTAGAAATGCAGCAATTCCCACTGATGAGCCTTGATTACTGTGTCTGTTGTGGATTCCACCCCCGCCACCAACAAAAAAATACATCATATCCCCATCCTACCTACTGAGCCAGAGGATTTGCATTTTAATCTCTGCCTATGAGCGGTGGTAGTAAACCACTTACTTAAAACCTCTAACCAACCTACCACTTTCACCCTCAAGATTTTGATGGGAAATTAGTTTTGGGGAGGGGGTAATTAGTGGGCAATAATCAGGGAGAAGGGAAAATTCATATTCATTCTCATTCTCTCTCTCTCTCTCTCTCTCATCTGATACAAGCCACTGCACTGTCATAGAGGGGCACACCCACTCATAGTATTTGTGTCCTGCTGTTTCTATGCGTTTGAAAAATTCCAATCAGCTTCTGCTGATTCTTTATTTCCCTAGGAAGCCAGTGGATACAGCCATCTAGGGCAATAAATGAAAAAGGGGAAGGGGAGCAGAAAAGATGGGCCCCTAATGATAAGAAAATGTAATGGGAAACAACTTTCAAATATTCATAGGTAAATTATCATATAGAAGAGTGGTGATAATGGGCTGGTTTTTCCACGCCATTTGAAGCTTGGGTTTCCCTTTCCTCTATCCCAATCCTCACTTAAGGAATGAAAATATTATTTAGAAATAGCCTAAGCAAAAGCAAATCAGATATGTAAATAGGATGCGAAGCCATACACTTCATAAATGGCTTGCAAACCTCCCCAAAAAGAGCTGCTCACATAAGAAATTCTGAGATCTCTTAGGGCTGACCACCAAGAATGCAATTTCTATGGGAATCCTTACCATTCCTGATAGATGACATTCCAAATGAAAATGGAAACTCTCAAGCTAAGAGAGAACTATGAGGTGTGCTGTTGCATGTGTCGGGTGCAACATGGATCACTGGTGGGTAGCAAGGGGAGAAAGCAGAGGAGGAGTGGGGAGATCCAACACTACGGGTTGCCTTCAAGGGCCCTCAGACCTAGGCCATGTTCCAAGGCATTTATTAAAGAATTTATTTAAAGTATCAGTGAGGCCTGGGGGCATAGTGGCACAAGCCTGTAATCCCAGCAGCTTGGGAGGCTGAGGCAGGAAGATCACGAGTTCAAAGCCAGCCTCAGCAAGAGAGGCATTTAAGCAACTCAATGAGACCCTGTCTCTAAATCAAATAAAAAATAGGGATGGGGATGTGGCTCAGTGGTTGAGTGCCCCTGAATTCAATCCCTGGTACCAAAAAAAAAAAAAAAGTATCAGTGATAGGGGACAGACAGACATTGAGTGGGAGGAACATGAGCTTAAGGGAATAATTCTGTAAATGGGTCCATGTGCTGACTCCCACAAGTTTTCTCTTTTAAAAAGCAATTTACCTGCAGCCCTGCCTGGCTTAAGTCCACAGGATATGCTACATTCTTCCAGAAACTACCTATTATCTGCAGGAGAAAAGTAGGCCTGAAATGCTGATAAGAAGAACACAAGTTACCCTGAAGGAGGGTACTTTTGTGACTCTTACACAGATCAGATCCCAGAACTTGGGGAGATAAGGATAATTCCCCCTAACTATAAAAGCTGTAAGACCAGGTCAACATGGGCCAAAGTGACCTAGAGTTGTCATGGCAGTGGGGACTTGAAAGTCTGATGTCATGCTGCTATCAATCAAAAATCCAGAGGTGGACCTGGTCAAGACTCTCTGGAAACTTCCCTGGGACCTTCTATAAAACCGGAGGACAGGACATACATGCCATCCCTCTTCTCTCTTCTCTCTGAGAGGACCCACTGTCTCCTTTGAGAGAGACCTTTTGAGAGGGTCCCCTTTCCCCTTTACTCTCCCTTGTAATGAACTCATTCCTATAACTCTGAGCAACAAAATCTGAAGTCTTTCTGGCCTGATCCCAAGAATTGGGACTTGGAGGGGACTTTGCACTGCCTCAGTTTCACAGAAGGCCCTAGCCCTGATAACATCAGGAAGTAGCGTCTCCAGAATCCCACACACCCCTACATAATATAGGGGAGGACAAACATCTCGTCTTTACCTTTTTCTTAGACTTGTGGCTAAAGCCCCTATAATAAAAAACTAACAAAGACAAAAGCGTATGAATTTATTTCATGTAAGTTTTTACATGTGATAAAAGAATTTCTGAGATGTCCTTAATCTAAGGGGACAGAGAAGAAGAATTGGAAGAGGTTAATCAATAACAAGCTACAAGCCAAAAAGAACGAAAGCTACTCTTCAATGAGTGCTGGAATCTTAAATCCCAGCACAGAGGATCACCAGGGCTGTTTACATATAAACTTTCCCAATTGTTAACTGGACAAATGCAGAAGCAAGTCACTTCTTATGGATCACCCTTCTGACCCCTCACTCCGCTTTGCACAATCCCACCCTTGTCACCCATGACCAATATGAGTTCCGTGTAAACATCTGTGCTTTCCTTCTCCAAAGGAATAAAAATTCTCTTAGTTCTAGGTCCTGCAGACATTTTTCCAACCCCTTCCCTGTTCTGCTA